ATGTTGTCTCAATGCAAGGCTTTTATTTTACTTGAAAGATCCTAACAAGACACTTGAAAATCTAGAAGAGAGTGTATATCGCTCTAGATAAGAAATCATAGTCTTCTTCTGATTCAACAGTGATATCTTTAAGTTTACGTATTATTTGTATTGATCTGAGGAAATATGTCTCATTATTTCAAGAAGTCGAGAGTATCCCTAAGAGTGTGGAAATGTCTCCTTCGAATAAAATTTGCTTTATGATATTACAATATGTCTGAGTGAAACGACATTTCCACTTGTAAACAATAAGTGTATTCGTTGTCGTTTATGTCGTGTGTCTGGTGGAGATTTGTGGTTTGATGTGGTTTATTGCTACACAATATCTAAGCGATGGCAAATTAAATGCTAATGAGTGAACTTTTTCGATAGTGAACATTGTAGGAACTTAAGGAATTACTGAAAATATATGAATAGAAATAACTTCAAAATACGTTGCGTTAGAGCGTTACTTGTAAAAAAATATCTGCATCATGCTTATTATTGGGTACTTTTTTGCCCTGTCTACAAAATACGTATAGTGGCGACGTGCCATGGTCAAATATAATATCGAATAGGTACTTGCTGGCTTGGTAGTATAGGTTTAATGAGAGGTATCAAGAAGATTACTTCCATATGAAATTAGTAGACATATGAATCATGAACCAATAAAGAAATAATCAAATTAGGATTAGGTATTCAAGTCGAAAATGTCATTCTATCATTCCTAGTTTGCATGTTCTTGAAAGAAGAATACATTTGTAATTCAATATTCCTATGAAATCATTATAGATTCGTGAAATATAGATATTTGATTCATGTTCAATGAAGTATTTCTGTATCTTCCATACAAAAATTTCATTCACCTTTATAAATATAAGTAAAATTTCTCAATTGGGGTAGATCACAAATTTTCATATACAGAAATACTAGCAAATTTCAAAACAAGAGCATCGCTAATCTTGAAATCAATATTCAGATCTCTCCATCATTAAATTCGATTAAAATTCATTACATTCTTGGTTCAGAATACTTGTCCGATCTTTCCAAACATGTGGAAATATGTTCTTGCAGTAATAAATTTTCTCAAGCAGAGAATGAATTCATTTTGAATTATGATAACTGATGGTTTTTTCACTGAATATCTTGAATCATCCCTCTTCAAAACATTCGTGGATTTTTTTTGGGAGAATTTGAAGCAGCATTGAATGAAGGTAATATTGTATCCTTTCAAGGAGATAGTAGAGTTTCAAATTGAGATGAATTATTTCCCAGTTCGATGAAATATTTCTATATGAATAAAGAAGAGTAGGAATTTTTTGGTTGAATTTTTTTTTCTTCATTTCCAGATTTTTATTTCCACTGTGTACCCCTTCTTTCAACATCTAACTCTGATGAGTAGTTGTCAGAATGGCGAAAGCAATGTATAGTCGGCAGAGAGAGCTATCTCCAAAATACGTGTGAAAATAAAAAAAAAATTATGGCTGGTGTAAATGCATCTTTCGTTAAATTTGTTATTGATGAGAATATAATCTGCTGCGAACAATCTGAAGGACATTACCTCGAAAGTGATAGTGATAGTGATCGAGCATTCTCCGACGACATGGAAAACATTTCCAACTCAAATAATGATGATGTTGATATACATATCTTCAACTATGTTATAAAATGAGGCATTATTATTAACGAGCTAACGATGAAATCAAATGGCTGACTCACCAACTGACCCATATGGAGACAGTTAAAAAAACTGCAATCACGATCAAACCTGCCACCTGCAACGAAAAAACTATCCCACAAAGGAGAGATAACAACTTGAAGACAGTTGAAAAAACTGCCATTCTTATCAAACTTGCCACCTGCAACGGAAAAACTATCCCACAAAGGAAAGATAACAACTTGGCGAAAACAAGCCAAATTGCTGCGACATCGAGCACATCGAGAAAATCTACATATTCGGATAGTAATATTGCGAGATCTCCCAAGGATACTTTTATAACGAATAAACATCTATCAAGTGCTTTGATTTTGATCGAAATTGCTTCGGAAAACAAGTGCCGAGAGAAGAGTAAACAAAGTGACGACAATAGACCTCCAAATGACCGCCGTTTCCGGAATGTCATTAGTGGTCAAGTCACTGTATAGCTGATAATCTGAAGGGTGTATCCCATTCAGTAACGAATTTGCGCCTTCGAAGTGCCCACCTGATATTGGGTTCAGATATTCGATATTTTCATTCCATCATCTGAATAATCTGAGACCGAGTCCCAAAAGAAGGATTCTGATTGTTTATATCCAAGATACTGACGTATAGAGTTTCATGTCTAACTGTTGGATGTTTTGTGTCCAAAGAGCAAAAAACATAGAGGAAAGCATTGACAAAGTGAAATAAAATAAGTAGAACTGAATGGAGAAAACAAGACAGGTGACAGTTCCAATAATGCTGAACGGGGATATCGATATTAATTCAATGAATGACAATGAAACCGATAACTTTTCATAGTAGAAAATCCGAAGTAAGGTCCGCCTCCACCTATCTGTTTGATGGATGAACAGTATTTTATGTTCCGAATGGTAGGGATCTATTTAACAATTTAAATTGTTTTCCCAATGATCTCAGAAATCTGCAGGTATACTTGGGTCAAGATTATTTAACGTTTTTCCTGAAGAACTAAGATTGATCGAAATAGTGCACATGTTCAAAAAAGAGATAAAAATACTTCTCGACCTTTGTCTCTATAACGTGAATGAATTTTTTGATAATTTTAGATAAAATGCTCTGTTTGTCAATAATTTATACACTTTTTGTAAACCTTGTTTGTGTCTGACTTGTCCGATAGCTCCTCAGCTCTATTGATTGAATATAATTGTACTGTTTATTGTAATGTTTCGAGTGATACTAAACAAGAGTTCCATTTCTGATTAAAAACGTTGAAATTTCCATATTTTCGAGTCAAATAGCCCCAAATGGCTCAAACAAAAAAGTAAACCCTACAACCGCCTGTGCCAAGGGGACCCGAAATTATCTCAGACCGTCACTGTTTGTGGAAAATAACCTGATTGGTCCTCATAGTACAATTGGAATAATACTAATATTTTTATTTATAACAAAGAGAGGAAATCTCAAAAATGTATTATATTTGAAAGTATAACCTAATAAGTGTTCAATATTCTTTATGTGGTGTGAAATCGATGGGAAATTGAATGTAATCATTGATTACTGTTGTGAATAACATGAATATACACCTCTGTATGTTATAATGATTGTAATTAGAATGAATCAGCAAAGGATAATGCGGCAAAAATCGAAGGCAATATAGACGTAATTTATTCTCTGCTATTTCTAAATAGCATGACATAATCAATAGTAGACAGCTGGTTGCAATACATGTGAAATTTTCAACAATGCTGAAATGAATAATAAAATAATAAATGTTTACAAGTAGCCACATTTTTGGAATGTTACTAATAGAAGTTGAGATATAATCAAGTTTAACTTCAAACATTTATACGCCTTGTCATTCTGAAAACTTATGTCACTCCTCATATTGAGCAGGAAATCATAAAATACATGTAGTTGAACAATAATTATTTGTGAATGATAGGCAGTCTCAGAGATTTCAATTTATTTATTATTTTACCATTTTTACCTATATGATCCTGTGAAAAGTTCACTATTAGTTTGAACCAGAGCCAGATGATTATAATAAGGGTAATAATAATAATGGAGGTGGAATTAATATATATTATATTATATTTTTCAATATAATTGTCGTAAGAATGAATCAGATATTTTGCACCAAGATGTCAAAGAGCTGAAACTTGCACTATCAGAAACCTAACAGAAAATTTAAATCGATAGTAATAATAAGTGACACCTTGTTTGAAATATTAGATGTAGAAATCTGGTTGCTACCCATCTGAAAGGCCAGAATCGATTTATTATCAATTTGGCTGATCATAGTAAAGAGGGCCCTAATTTAAGCGAAGAAAATGAAGTGTACCATTGAATATTTTTCATTTGAATTAAATCTGTACGAGTTTGAATTGCCAGCGTGATTCCCTAGATTTTTCCTCCCAAATTTTACAATGTAACGGTTTTCATGAAAATAGATCACAAATATTTGGCATCCCTCAGTCCTTGTTGTATATCCAGATAGTAGTTCTGTCTTATAAAAACATGATACTATACACATTTTGAGTTTTTTCTCTTTTACTTCACCAATCACTTAGCTTACAAGTAGGCAAGAAAACCAACCATACCTATTCCTGTTCAGATAATTCAATTCAGGTTACTGAAATCATCATTATTCTCTGTTATTTCTGAATGAACTAATTCAGAATCAGTCCGACTCTGGTTCCGAACACTTGAAGATGACTTCGGAACGTCGACAAAAAATATCAAAAGGATTGCGCCTTCTTTTTTATGGTTCATATTAGCACAGTTGAGGTAATATTCTCTCAACTGTGATATTAGTATTTCTCCTACTATAATACCATCTCTACCTTGGTGTATGAATAATTATTTTCATTCGACCGTTTATCTCAAAGGATAAATATTTAACAGCCTCATGAAAGTACCTAGGACAAATTGCGATGAATGCACTGTACAAAATTTAGTAGGCAAGTTGACATTGTCCGTCACTTGTAGCGTCAAACAAAAATATGGTCACAAATCAGCTACGAAATTCACTAAATAGACTCGTTTGATATTGTAATTAGTGGAAAATGGCTGATTGAAGTTAAGATTTCACAAGGGATTTCGAGGAAGCAGCAGAAAATACAATATGTTCTTCGTCCATTCATATTTCCATTTCGTAACTAGTGAACATTTCATCACCATTTACATAATATTTCAAAGTTAGACGACGGTCCAAAAGTTCCATCAGTTTTGGGAAGTGTCAAACGAGGTGTCAAATATTACATGTCAAAATTAGGAAGAAGATATTAGAACTAGACTCTAGTAAAGGGTGATTACTTACATCCGAACAGTTGTAGTTGCTTTTCGACATACAAGAAGTAATAACGTAAGTATCTTGAGCTCTGTTCAACCAGACAACTCCGACGTTGTTCTCACCATGGAAAGATGCACTGGTGACGTAGCTGTCCGGCTGAACGCTATTCGTTGGTTTCAGTTCCAGTGGGAATAGATATTTTGGCATAGTCAAGTTAACGATCCAGACAGTTACTACTGGATTGGGCGTAGAAACCTGGAATCAATCGGAATAAACATAATTGGAAATAGAGAGGTTATCATTGAAATACATCTCTACATCTACATCAGAATGAGAATTATCTATAAACCTTGAGTGAACTCATAAGTGGTACAGAATCATCAGATCTTGATCTCAACTCGAAAAATCTCATGAAATTTTCAATAAAACCTTCACTGGAAGTAGTTTCAGGAAAATAATAGTTGGTATTGAAATATCATCTAGATCTCGGCATTCTATTACAAATAAGGGCAGTGCCTTTCTCAAATATCAAATATTCCAATAGTTTAAAATTTTCAAAATGAAGCTTTAAACATTATTATGTTGAACAAACTCCAAATAGATCCATGAATCGTTCCTGTCATAGCCAATTACTTGTCACAACTGTCAAAACTATTACATTGTATGTATGTCATAGACACGATCATTGATTTCTATTTTGGATACTTAAGATGACTGATCATCGATTTAACTAGTAGTACGGCAGTGTGACCTTTTGTAATATCCTATCGTGCCTGAATTCTGGTCGGACCAAGTCTGTGAATAAATTCTGGATCTTTCTTTCAGTATTACCAAACCCTTGAAATAGCCTGGACTATCTTTCTATCTACTTTTTCAACAATTTCAGGGTGCAATTACCAATTTTATCTGATAGCCAGACTGCCCAGATCTTGGAGTTCGAAGATCTCACAAATTTGAGACTGTGAATTGATCTAGAAATGTGCAAAACTGCAAGAGGCAATAAACTATGTGTTTATAGTTGTAGGTACGATGAATAATTGATGATCATCATACATGGCGTAAAAAGGAATTGTGAATTGGGGAAACCCAATCACGAATCTGTCATCAGAGGTCTGTAGAAGCAAGTTTAGGTAGATTTTTATTTTCATATCCTCATTTTAGGTGTTCAACAAATGTGATTCAATGTTCGACGATGCAAATAGCCAGGAAAGTAGTTGTTCCTGTTGAATATTGCAAATGATATTATACACATAATATAATAATATATTTTTATCTGGAAGAGAATACAGATTCCCAACTTCAGCAGATTTTATTTTCAAATTCCTATTGTGTGTGTTATTAGATGTAATTATTCAATGTCCGTAGTGGCATTCAGCATTCAGCCATCAGGAGATTGGTTGTTTTCTGTTGAATCTGAGAAAATTTTTTCCGAACTATATTTAATTTGAATACCAAGGGATGAGGTAATTGAAGGTACTCTGATACTCTCATCAAAGCAGGAGCAATGGCAGCATTATGAGACGAAAAAGTGACATTGTATGAGGAATTATCAAGTCATGAGAATGTAATAAAGAAAATCCTACTAGAAAAATACTCTTGCTCGAAGACAAAAATGTATAGCGATCTCATGGAACAAGAAAGTATCATCTGAATACAACTTGGCAAAGAAAACGCAGCAAGATTCAGAATCCACAGAACGAATCGGCCGAAAATATACTAGAGAACCCAGTACTGATGATCGTTCAACGACTATATAACATAGAGTAGCCTTGACCTGTACGGTATGACGAGTGTCAGATGTCTCAGTTTGTTTCTACGCAGACATTTCAAACTGCAAGAAGCTTGAACAGGCCTTTAATTTGTAGAAAGAATTACAAGAGATCATAAATGCCTGACAGCCTGGTCACCAAGCCCTTGTCAACAACTCTTGTGTCAGGATGGACCTCCCTGGAGATGTGGTGGCAGACCATTAGAGCCACACGCACATCAGACAATATGGAAAGTTGTTTCCGGGTCTGTTTCCCACTGCTTCAGAGTAAAGTTTGTCCACCAATTGATGCAGATGTTTCCTCAGGGAGTAATACAGAGGCATATTGTTGCCAACCTAAACTAAATATATTACATTCTAAGAAGAAACATTTTAATTGGGAACTCAATGAGCTGTTTCAATGTTTCCTACACTCTAGCGTCACAGCTGCATGCTTAAATATGTTCTGAATAATCTTCTTGGTAATAGGAATATATTGAAGTTGAAAAAAAAAGTTGTTTTTTTGGAAGTCTGATGACGGCATTGCAGCTTTAGATTTGTATTGTGTCTTCCTGGCTATCTATTTCTCTTTAAAGATGTTTGACGTAACCCTTCCGCAAGATCTCAGCTTGAAGATTATCTGGCCCCGAAATAAAAGTAGGCGATTGATATAGAATCGTATGCCGACAGATTTCAATTACACATTAGTGTTCTTTTTGGATGTATGACAAATAGATATTCATCATACAGGACGTGGAAAGAAATACTCAGATGTCAGTTTCGTTACAGTTTTAGTTATAATATAGAGAGATGAAAATTGTGTATATCATGAAGAATGGCTGGAAGATAACTAGACTTCAGGATCACTGAGGAGGGTTTGAAATCTCATTGTTTGTGAGAGATATTATTATAATTCCCAAATCACTGATACATCATATTATTCATCAGATTTGAGAGATGGTTAATTCTCAATTGAAAAGAATTTTTTTCATGCTCTTTTTTCGATGTTCAACAGATATAGTTCAATGTTCGACGTGTCAAATAGCCAGGAAAGTAGTTGTTTTCTGTTGAATAAACCAAGAAAGAGTTGATATTTTTATCACATGGAGAATGCGAATTCTCGATGTATTTCTTTATATTATATATATATCCATTTTTTGTATTCATGAATATATCTGAGAATATTCCTTTTCAATTTCTTCAATACTTTCATTATTCCTGATTAGGTTCGTCACCAGCATCCTACATTTCGCAGCATGTCCTGGATTTGGAGTACTTTGACTTGGGTCCTGTCAAGATTTATTGCAGGACAATAAATGCCTTCAATTTCAGTCTTTCTCGAGTTTATTAGTGATTTGAAGATTAAATCACTCTGTGCCAACATTCAATAAACCTTTCGCATTCGTCCAATGTTCGAAGACAATATAATATGGCAATCATTATTCCAAAATCAGAAAGCAGGATTATATAAGGCATCCTTCTACAAATCATCATCAACCGTTATTTGTCGAACTTCCTAAATAGGACTTTCTCGATGTCATACCTCTTCATAACACATAAAATATCATATTACGAATACATCTTTTCACTTGAAATATTGAAGCAATAATAATTACTTTCCGGATTTATATATTATTATGATTAAATAAAAATCGTAGTCAGTTTGCATTAATGAATCTGCAGTAAATCACTAGAAGTGACTGATATCAGGTTCATTCTTTTTTCTGGGAATGTTTGTTGAACTTTCAATATCAAAGAGTGTGGATATACCTTACGTTTGACGGCCATTTCTTGCTGAAAATCGATCACAAACGGCTTTTGATGAAAAAAAACATTGATTTTGCTTGAGATGTATGCCCTCCATGAAGTAATCTCATCAGGGTAAGAAGTCAATTAGTTTCCATTCAAGAATAATATCGCGTCCTTATATGTATCTAGGATTTCAAAACAAGAATGCGAATTCCTCATATACAGTGTGTGCGATTTCAACCCGCAACGCCCTCCTAATTTGGAACTCGTCGACCGATTTTTACAGGGTGATTCGAAAAATCAAAAATATCAAAATTCGCCATTGAATAACTAACACCCTATATGAGATCTTGCGTTCAAATTCCGTATAGGGATATTTCAGCTATACCTGAATCGAATAGGCTAGTCACTGTTTCGAAAAAAAATTGCCTAATAGTCGTTTTTGCAATTTTGAACTCTTCAACAAACAAAAGTAGGCCTTGAAAGTCTGAATATTTCAAATATGTCCACAATTTCGATTAGAGCTCGTTGGGTGGCATATTAAAGAATTTTCGCTTCTGAAAATCGGTCGACGGGTTCCGAATTAGAAGGGTGTTGCGGGTTGACATCGCACACACTGTATACAGTGTGACTCATTTCTAATGGAAACACTCCTGTATCTTACGTAATCGTTGGGTAGGGATCCTGAAATTTGTTGGAGCGAGAGATATACCAAAAATGCACTCTATGACCAAGTGGGGTCATCTTGAGTAATATACACTGCTCGCCAACAGCCATCGAACCACCCCAATTTCCGGAAAATGATATTAGGAGTCAAAACAGGTCGAAAATCACTTCAAATTCGTAATCAGGACCCCCAATTCACTAACTATTTATATTTTTCCTGGAAAATTTTCAGTTCTGAAAAATTAAATTATGTCGCACTTTTTACGGAAGCACCCCTGTATCTTACGTAATTGACTTCATCTTTGGACTCTCCCTTCCTCCTGCAAATTTCAGAACCCTACCTCAATAATTACGTGAGATACGGGGGTGCTTCCATGAGAAGTGAGACAAATTTGAATTTTTCTGAACTGAAAATTTTGTTGAAAAACTATGGATTGTAAGAGAATTGGGCGTCCTGATTTCGAATCTGAAGTGATTTTCGACCTATTTTGACTCCTAATATCAGTTTCCAGAAATTGAGGTGGTTCCAGGGCTGTTGGCGAACAGTGTATATCACTGAAGATGACCCCACCAGGTCATAGATTGCATTTTCGGTATATTTCACGCTCCAGCGAATTTCAGGATCCTTACCCAACGATTACGTCAGATATAGGGGTGTTTCCGTCAGAAGTGGGTCACACTGTATAAGACATTCTTGATATCAAATCATCCTCAACCGTTAATTGTCGAACTTCCTAAATAGGACTTTCTCGATGTGATACCTCTTTTATAACACGTAAAATATCATATTACAAATCCACCTTTTCACTTGAAATATTGAAGCAATAATAATTACTTTCCGGATTTCAGTTTGCATTAATGAATCTGCAGTAAATCACTAGAAGTGAATGATGTCAGGTTCATTATTTTTTCTGGAAATAATTGTTGAACTTTCAATATCAAAGAGTGTGAATATACCTTACGTTTGACGATCATTTTTTGCTGAACATCAATCACAAACGGCTTTTGATAAAAAAAAACATTGATTTCGCTTGATATGTATGCCCTCCATGAAGTAATCTCAGGGTAAAAAGTCAACTAGTTTCCATTTGAGAATAATATCGCGTCCTTATATGTATATAGGATTCCAAAACAAGAATGCGAATTCCTCATATACAGTGTGTGCGATTTCAACCCGCAACACCCTCCTAATTTGGAACTCGTCGACCGATTTTCAAAAACAAAAATTCCATAATATAGCACTCAACGAGCTCTATTCGAAAATGTGGACAAATTTGAAATATTCTCAAGGCCTACTTTTGTTTGTTGAAAGGGTCAAGATTTCAAAAACGACTATAAGGCAATTTTTTTCGAAATAGTGACTAGCCTATTCGATTCAGGTATAGCTGAAATACCCCTATACGGAATTTGAACGCAAGATCTCATATAGGGTGTTAGTTATTCAATGGCGAATTTTGATATTTTTGATTTTTTGATTCACCCTGTATCAAAATCTAAGGAGTTGATGTAACCAGTGAAGTAGTTATTCAACAGAGGGACACATCGAATACATATAGGTACGAAGTTTCATCGCTGTAACTTCTACAGGAAGATCTCTCTATAGGTCTACCAATAATTAATGAAATTGAAATCGATTTTTTCTTTATTATGATCCATAACTTTTTCCTAGGAGATATAGATAATGATGACTAATCTGGGGAAATGTTCTATTCATAAAAATTTTCATTGTCATCTCAAATTTTCATTCCTAAATCCGTATATTATTATGATCACATCAAACATCAGTATATCTCCCAGAAATGAAACTTCCTATATATATATATCTATGTATTCGATGTGTTCCTCTATTGAATAACTACTTCACCGGTAATACCAACTCCTCAAATTTTGATGAAGGGTGAATCGAAAAATCAAAAATATCGAAATTTACCATTGAATAACTAACACCCTGTATGAGATTTTGCGTTCAAATTTCGTATAGGGGTATGTAAGATATGCCAGAATAAAATAGGCTAGTCACTGCTTCGGAAAAAATTGCCTAATAGTCGTTTTTGCAAGTTTGACCTCTTCAACAAACAAAAGTAGGCTTTGAAAATCTGAATATTTCAAATTTGTCCACATTTTCGATTAGGGCTCGTTGAGTAGCATATTATAGAATTTTCGTTTCTGAAAATCGGTCGACGGGTTCCGAATCAGAAGGGTGTTGAGGGTTGAAATCGCACACACTGTAGGTATACCGGGTGGCTACGGAAGTATTGCCTACGGAATATCTCAGTTATTGTATAAAGTAGGTTTGTGAAATTTGAAGCGTCGATATAATGACATAAGAGCTAGAATTTGAGCATATTGACATGTCGAAGTTAACTTCCGGTCTGACCGGAAGTAACATCAACTTTCTTATTTTAAATGGAAACCCTATTTTTTTTTCTTTTCGCATTATTCAGCATTCAATTCCCTTTCTAATGGCATATCACAAATTGGTATATAACCAGAAACTGGATCAGAAAAAAATTATTATTGAAATTCACCGAGTAGGCCGTGGAAGCAAAATGAAAGCCAAAAATTGAAAAGTTGGCTATGGAAACCATACGTCACTTGATAACAGTTGCTACTACTGTGATATTTTATTTTCATTCGTCGGCGTTATAAAAAGCCGCCAAAAAAAATATTGGAAAAATTGAAAAAAAAAACAATACTCTGTAGGTCCATAACTTAAATAGGAACATACAACTTTTTCTTGCCTGTACTATTCAGCATAATCATTTTTTTCTAATGATATAATAGAAAGTCATTTTTTGGCTTTCATTTTGCTTCCACGGCCTACTCGGTGAATTTCAATAATAATTTTTTTCTGATCTAGTTTCTGGTTAGATACCAACTTGTGATATGTCATTAGAAAAGGGAATTGAATGCTGAATGAAGCGAAAAGAAAAAAAATTGGGTTTCCATTTAAAATAAGAAAGTTGATGTTACTTCCGGTCAGACCGGAAGTTAACTTCGACATGTCAATATGCTCAAATTCTAGCTCTTATGTCATTATATCGACGCTCCTTTCACAAACCTACTTCATACAATAACTGAGATATTCCGTAGGCAATACTTCCGTAGCCACTCCTTTCTAACACATCAGTGTCCGGTTGCCATTTGCAAACATGATACTCACCCTTGGATACCTGAAAGACTTTATTTTCGGATACAACGTACTCTCGGAGGCATCCCCACCATACCAAGGGTACTTATATTCCCCAACTACCGAATCGTTGAAAGCCACATAGAGCAGATAGATGCCGTCCGGGGAGAACCAGATGGCGTGGGACGTTTTTAGGATGTAGTTTTCGTAGAGCCAGTCGGGCACCCCGTTGAAGACCACCCCTGGCCTGCCTGATTTCGTGATCCTGCATACCAGGTCCTTCTCCACCTTCGGCTTGTAGTAGATGTCGTTATCGAAGACGAAAGCGACTGCAGCGCCGTCTGGAGACCACGCCGCGAACTGCAGATATGGAGCGTTCTCGTCTAGTTCGTTCGGAGATAGAGGTTTTCTCAATCTAAAAGTGTAATATTAGACCAGTACTGAAGCCTTTGAAAACGGTGAAAGGTGAAAACAAATTATAGTAGGATGAAACTCATTGAGTGGATGAATCCATACGCAAGACACACTAAATCATCTCCCCAAATTCATTATCAGAATTATCAGTGTCTGACCATAATTTGGACTACCAATAGTCATCAGCAGAAGCGTTTTTAAGACAATTTGTGGAAATGAGAAAAAGGGGGCAACGATGGGCAACATTAGATAGATAGATATATTTGTTTCAAAAACATACAGTTTAAGAAAAAAACGTCAAAATTAGGCTAAAGTAAATAAATAAATAAATATCGTAGGTATAAAACAAACATAATAATAAATATAATACAAGATTTCACAAGTACATAAACATAAAAAGTATATGAACGTCTACTCGAAAACATTATTCATGAGTCAGCGATGATTGGATCATAGAAGAATTCATCCAAGGTGTAATAAGATTTTTTCAGGAGCAAGTTTTTCATTTTATTCTTGAATTGGAATTTATTTTTTGATTCTTGTATAGATTTTGGCAGGCAATTGTATAATTTACATCCATTGTAATATAAACTTTTCTGATACCGAGCAGATGAGTGTTGAGGAGGCAACAGATAATCTTTGTTCCTTGTATTGTAATTATGTTCGACTTTTTCAGTCTCAAAATAACGTTTATGATTATATACAAAACAGGTTACTTCATAAATGTAAAGGGAAATCATTGTGAAGATACCCAGTTTTATTAAATATTCCCTGCATGAATCTCTTGCTCTCAGATTTCCCAAGATACGGACTGCCCTTTTTTGTAAGGTGAAGGCCCTATGAGCTTCTGCGGAATTCGCCCAATGCATGATTCCATATTTTAAATTTGAGTGGAAGCATCCGAAATACAATTGTTTAATTATTTCTCTACTACATTGTTGTGATGAAATGAAAAGGGCATAGCATATCCTAGCTAGCTTCGAACACAAACTATCTACATGTCCATACATAGACACCAAGCAATTTAGTATTTAGAGCGCAGTTGATTTCTGTATTATTATGTTATGTGGTTAGGATATTCTGAACCAGAAGATTTGAAAATAACACAGGTCGATTTATCATTATTCAGACAAAGCTTGTTCACATCAATTGAATGTCATTGTTACATACAATTAATGGAGGGCAAAGTGCCCATGGCTCAAAGGGCTTTATGGAGGGTACCCATTTCCATAAATTGTCATAAAAATGCTTCTGCTGATGATGGACTATTTATAGTCCGAAACAAGTTCAGATACTGATAATTCTGATAATAAATTTGTGAAGATGACTCAGTTTGTCTTGCGTATGACAGATGAAAGAGAAAATAAAGTGGTAGGGGTGAGTTTTCGAGGGTAAAATACGGTTTATCTCGATTTCCGGCAAAACTACAAGTCCTATAAAAAATAGTTGAATGCCAAAGTTTCAGGTAATAAGAAGATCTCTAACTTCTATGATTACACTTTTCTCACATATCCTCAAAATTTATGTGAAAAATTCAAATAAACCAACATTTTTTTCACGAAGTTTAGGGACTACTTTCCTCTTCATGTCCCAAATACACTGTGATTTTTTTGATTTGTAATATTCATTCATTCACCTTATTTTGACTCAATATCAAAAAACCACTCAAATTTTCATTCAGAAATTGTCGCGTCAAAATATGTGATTTTTCAAAGAAAGTCAATGAGTTTTTTGTTAGTTGAAATCTCTACTTTCTGATGGTGTAAAAAAATATTAATATTACCATGGTGAATGTTCTCTGAAAATGCAAAGAAACGAAAAAGCAGCAGTCACATTGTTTTAATGTTTCAATGTTTCATTATATGCAGAACAATCTATGTTCGTGTGTTTTTTGCAATTTCAATGAATTTGAAATTGTTTCGTTTATGAATGTTATATGGAATCTCACGTCTCTCGAGTAATTAGTGATGATTTCAATAAATATAGCTCAACATTGTACATCTTGATTACAAAAAAATCGGATTCAAGTTTCGTTTCTCTGAATTTTCTAAGAACATCTACGCTAGTAATGTGTAATATGCATATATTTACATCTTCAGAAAGTAGATATTATAAAAAACGAAAAGCTTTCGACGCGAGAATTCTCGATTGAAAATTAGGGTGCATGCTTGTTCGATATTAAGTCAAAATGGGGTGAAGAAAAGTAATTTTAATAAAAAGAATTACAGTGTATTTTCACCAAATTTCGTGGAGAAGATTGTTTTGTAAATGATCAAATTAAAAGAAACGAAGAACTTGGTTATTTGAATTTTTTACATAAATTTTGAGGTTATGTGAAAAAGTGTATCAACAAAAGTTATAGATATTTCTATTACCTACAACTTTGCTTCCGAATTTTTTTTCATAGGACTCGTAGCTTTGCCAGAAATTGAGATAAACCGTTCATCACCCTCAAAACCACACCATCTTCCACTTGCCAACCTCAGATCGACCGCTATTTATTTTTCCTCAGATTTCTGTAATATTCTATTGCCTTTCCAATGGCTTTCATTCCACTATAATTTTTCTCGGTCTCAAAAATTATCGACCCTGGTCTATATCCCAGATGATGTACACCCGTCTTCAGTGAACATGTCGCGTTTGGACGGAATGAGCGCTCTTATTGCAGCGGTAATCAAGAGAGCTGACACCGTCCATGCGCGACATTTTCTCTTAAGACGACTGTACATATGATTAGAGTGAGTATATTCATTAGAGTGGCGACAATAGACCTCAAGATGGCTGCTGAAAGGCTATCGCATATTTAGTAATGAGTTTGCACCTTCGAAGTGCCCACCTGATGTTAGGTTTAGATATTTGTTACTTTAATTTCATCATCTAGATGAAAATGAGACTTGCTAGTCTCATAGCTAGTCTCAAAAGACGAATTCGAATAGTTGATATCCAAGGTATAGACGTATACAGTTTCATGTCTGAGTGTTGGAAGTTGTGTGTCCAAAGAACGAGAAACAGTGACAAAGCGTTGACAAAGTGAAATACAATGCGTAGAACTGAATAGAAAAAAACAAGACAGGCGTATGAACCTCCATAGTAGAGTCTGACAGTCTGAACATTCAAAAAGTGCATTACTATTGTCGCCACTCTGTATTATAAAGTCACTCTACAGATGATGTCCTAGTCATGCCACCTATTGGTCTTTGTTCGCAAGTAGGATGTCAAACATCTCGAGTTACACAGTAGATCGTTGTCACCTATAGTCAAAAAGTGTAATAATTCCTACGTAACATGCTTCAGGGTGATACTACAAGTATAAATCACTCTGCTGGCAGGTTATGGAATGGAAATAGATCCACCGGATCTACTCAATGAAGAACTATCTCGTACTTAACAAAGATAACTTAGCCTCAGTTGACAGAGAGTGGTTGAGTGATTATTAGAGCTCCAATGGTCAAAGTGAGTATATGATATTTGCTTCAATCAGCTAGAAGTACCCCACTAAGCAAATTCGGAAGCTATGTTGATGCAAGGTTATAGCAATTACTGAAACGGGCGTTCTGCAATATTGCAAATGTAAATTTGTGAATGTAACGTTCCAGCAATGTCACAGTAACATGTTATATTGCTGCAACGCTACATTATCAAACTTCACCTTTGCAATATTGCTGAACGTCTGTTTCAGTAATTGCTTCACCATTGCCACAACATATTTTCAACTTTGCTTAGTGAGACAGGAACATGTTCTTGCGAGGAATAAAAAAACTTGTCGACTGATATTAGTCGCGGGCTTCATGCCCATTACGAAAAATTCATCATTCCAATATGGTATTGGAATGAAAGACTTCCTAATTTTGCAAAAATAATCTGACCCTCTTAGAGGGGTAGAACTACCTCCCGAAGTTTATAGAACACCATCTAATCTGAATACAGATTCTGATTCGAAATTGTGGCCTCACACAATTTCCTCTTTCCACGAGCTCTCCAACAAAATAATTTGAGTCGTTTGATGTTCCAAGACCTTCATTATCATGTACACATAGATATGTGTTATGAATTCATGGAGATAACAGAAAATAGGTACTATTTATATCATTGTTTGCAATTTCACAAATATTTTTTATAGAACTTCTACCGAATTTTTTCCAAAATAGAGTCCCTTCTCCCTGTATAGACCCTACGAAGCAAAGCCAAATCATAATCTCCTAGGGACAAGGAAATCTCAATTGTGGTCAGGGAGAGAATGTGGGACAATTATTATAACTAACCATATCAACTACAAATATGGGGGTGGTCCAATGGTATAACATAACAGACTGACTCTGATTTCTCAACCCATTGATTGTGATTTGGTAAACTGATTTCAAAGTGAATGTAATTGTAACCAGAACCATCTGTCGATTGTTAGTGAAAGTCTTGAAAACCGTTAATAATGGTGTGTAGATAACTGTAAGCCTTGCTATAAGTTAAATTTTAATTCATACCATAGGTCAGAAGATGATGCAGAGTAGGCAATTTCATTGCTTTATCAAGTGCTCTACTACTGTTTCGCCCTAATAGCCTCAAACTATAGAGCAATGAAGGAAGGGAAGAGATGAAGCTCAGAAATCATCTAATAAAAGGTTCATATAATTTTGCTAAGAGTTTCAATAGCCCAGATGAAGAAAATGCCTAAATAAGTATTATAGTGACCAAACAATACGGGTATATGTCATTAGTTTGCGGTGCTGAAATGATCTGTACTGAGATGTAGACGTGAGTACTATTCCACTATATCCTCATTATGCATGAATCCAATTACTTCTGTTCAGGAGGTTTGGCCAAGGCTGCGCTCAATTCCACTCTAGTATAAGTGACCATGAATCAGGGCTGGTGATTGTTTGCTTATCACATGGCTTATTATCCAAAGAAGACGCCTCATCTCATTGGTCAAACTTTATTTGTTCTGCACCAATGAATACCAATCGCACCTCTTCGATGTATATTCACTTCAACTTCGTGATATTG